CTGTTACCTATAAGTCAGACGAGCGCGCGGACAGTCAGGTTTTTGCGGATTCCAGAAGACTCCTGTACGTGTTACGCCGGCTCCCCGGCGCGCTCTGCGTTTCAGGAACTGCTGCTGAATAATTAAAGGGGAAGTCAGCTTCATTTTGCATCGCGTGATTAAACTGTATAAAAGGCGGCAGAAAACGAGCGGCGATACATCTTTAATGACTCCGTATCATAACATTTCCCACATCCTCCATCTCTTCCATTGGCTGCGGCGGAAACCGCCAGGAAATTAAATACACAATTGCGTCCGATTATTATTTTATGATTCTTTTTTTTATATTTGCGTCTTTTTATTTTATTGGGTGACAAAAAAAAGGAATTAACCCATTCATGACTGATCATGGGAAGTCAAAACTGATACTTTGTCTCAAGTCTTTTCCTTTCTGACTCTTCAGGAATTTCTCGGCTACATCTCAGTGTCACTGTCATTATAAGTGAAGGAGAATATTGGGATACTTTGTTTCAGTGAATTGGTTTCTTTTGTAGGATCAGGAAGTAGACATGTAGGTCTCGTTCACACCTAGGCGTATTGCATATGCGCGTCTGTCGCGCGTCTTTTACCGCGATTCGCGGTAAAAAAGTCGCGCGACAAACGCGCGTTTCCGAAGGCTACTTGGCTGTATCCCAATGGAAACGCGCAACAAAAACGGCCCAAAGTAGTACCTGTACCTTTTCAGGCGTGGGCCGTTTTGTAGCGCGTTAGGGACGGGCGGAAATACGCCGAGGTGGGAACGAGACCCATTGAATACAATGGGATTTAGATGTTTGAGCGTTTTGTAGAGCGTTCGTCGAGCGTAGTACGCGCTACAAAACGTTCAGGTGTGAACGAGGGCTTAAGCTGTGGAAAAATTTGGTTCGGTTCAGATGTTTCGGTATTTCGGCATTCTCATCCGAAATTCAATTGGGTTCGGGTTTCAGATTTGGACGAAATACGAATTTGCGTTAGTTTCGGATGAGTTTTACGAATATTCGTTGCGAGTAAAACAGAAAACCACATACAGATATTAATACTAGGCAGCGGTGTATTTACAAATGCTGCTGCCCTAGGCAAAACAGCAACGCCGCCCCCCCCCCCCCGTACTGAGGCCGATCGTCACCATCATTGTTGGCCACTTTACCAGATCGTAGCAGTGATCTGGCTTCAGCTGAGCCAGCAGAATCACTTCTACTGTAAAGCCGGTCGCATCATTACACGGCGCCCGGCTTCCTGATTGGCCGGCCAGACGGCTCCGGCTGGGTACCGGAGGAAGGCTGCGTTCTCGCTGGAGAGGCCCCGGGGGTGACATGCTGCACATACTAAGGTAAGGTAACCTTACCTCACGAGGCCAGCTTCCTGATTGGCCAGCTTCCCGACCAATCAAGAAGCCAGCTTCCTGATTGGCCGGGATGTCGGCTCCATGCTCTCTCATCACAAGTGACAAGAGAGCATGGAGCCACTTCCCGGCCAATGGGGAAACCGGACAGCGCTTCCCGGCGGCTCTGCTCAGATTTGTAGAGCCCGCGGCCGGCATTACAGTAGAAGCGATTCTGGAGGTTCAGCTGCTGCCACATTACTTCTACAATCTGGTAACCGGGCCCCCCCCTCCACCCAACACTCCTTATGGGCCCAGGACCGGCTTGCCGGGTGTCGGTGGGAAGCTGGGGAGGAGATCGGTTAACCCATTACTATGGGACCGGGAGCGACGCATATTACATGCCTTCCGGTCCCATAGCTGTCAGTGTCGGGCTCCTGAAGCTTGCAATCTGCACTTCAATAGCTTGTTTGGAGTATAAAGGTGACACTGGTCTTTTGAACACCCAACATCACCTTAAAGAGGACCTGTCACCACCATCTGCTATCACATGGGGGGCTTGTAACCTCCGTTCGTCGATTCCCTCCCCGTTCTATGGGACCGGGAGCGACGCAGATTGCATCACTTCCGGTCCCACAGCTGTCATTGGTCGGCTCCTGAAGCCTGCGATCTGCACTTCAATAGCTTATTTCTAGTGTAAAGGTGACACTGGGAGTCTTTTGGACCCCCAGCATCACCTTAAAGAGTACCTGTCACAACCATCTGCTTTCACATGGGAGATAAAAAAAATAACAGTTTTTAAAATTAACATTACATAAAATAAATCTAAAATTAAAGTCGCGCACGCGCCTCGTCCCGTAAACACACGTTGGGTGCACCTACGTATGAAAACGACAAACACCTCATACTTCTCCTTTAAGAAGGAAACATAATTGTGAACATGGAGAGATGGAGGTTATTTAGGGTGACTGGGTTCATTTGGGCCAACACAGTGAATGGACTGATAGAGCTACAATAAAGACGTAGGGGAGGCATCTTCAGATGGACGTGCTTGGTAGACAACCAAACTTATCTCAGGAGAAGCCACACTATGTCTTTATTTGGCCCATTTGCTTTGCATTGAGCTGAGGTTCTCTAAAAGGTTGCGCAATTCTTTACCCCAAATTGTTACGGGTTGTTTCAAGCAGAAGACGTTGCGGGAACGTTGGAGGTCTGCAGTGTCGGAGAGGGAACTCCAGGGTGAAGGCCCTAGGCACTGTAGAAATGACTGTGTCCCATGAACTGACAGATATGGTCATTGAGCCAGATATGGTCGTTGAGCCAACACCACCCAAGGGCGGTGATCTGCCCAATCATCAAGCTGTGCTGAAAGGTAACGGAGAAGAAATTGCTCCACAATTTGGTTCATTGGCTTCTGTTTGGCTGTTGGATTTTGGGTGATGGGCCGATGTACAATCCAGGTGACTCTCCAGAAGATGGCAGGGATGCCCTTGAAAAGTGTCTTCCTCTACTGGAGACCATAAGAGAGGCGAAACCACTCAGCCAGAAAACCCCGTTTTTAGAAACTTTGGGCAAGTTAAGGGGTAGATGGAATGCCATGTGAAGGGTTAAAATGGGCCATTTTGAGGAATAAATGCACAAAAAACCTTGAAAACCCCTGAAAACTGGGAGGTCAATAATACCGAGTTCATTCAGGAATAGGAAGGGGGAGAAATACCCCAAGAGACTCCCTCCTGAGGTGCAATACAAAATCATCCAGCAGGATTTTGGTCAAACATGCAAAAGGCGAGGGCAGATGATGTAAAGGGGTATCAGAACTGGAACAAAGATCACAGATACATTGCTGATCACCTTGTAAAATTTCTAGTTGCCTGGCTGCCATTTTGAACCCCCTTTCAGTGTACTTAAAGTAACTTTTCCAGAGCACCCAAACAAAACAGGACACGTGACTCCACCTGCTGCTGATTTGTTTTGGCTCACTGGATTTAAGTATTGTAGCCGTGCATAAGCACCATTCCCAAGAAAAGTTCAGCCATGGCGGCTTCCGTATTCCGCTCACAGCACCATGGACAGCTCCCACCCCCTCCCGTTTTCCCAAGGAGACAGACCCCGCCCTCCGCGCGCTTTACTCACCCCGCCTTGCAGCGCTCCAGACTCCTCTATCACGTGACCACACGGCTGGGAAGCTGTGCCAGCACTAAAGATGGCCGCCGCCCCGCGCTGACGCTGCGCATCCGCCCGTAGCAGTCACATGATCAGAGCCAGCTGTCAAGATGGCGGCGGACCTGCCTGATGAGTTCGATGTGGTCATCCTGGGCACAGGTGGGTGAGGGGGCAATACAAGGGGGACTCTGGGGAGACGATGAGAGGGCAGACTGCACCGGGGGAGACACATGGGGTGATAATGCCGCCAGAGAGAGGGCTGAGGGGGGTGTGGGGAGAGTTAGACATCACCTATAGGAGGAAGAGGAATTCATGTGACAATTATCATTAATGGAAACATAAATATAATGTCTGTGATAGTAATTATAATTTTTTTATTATTATTAGGGGGGCGCATAGGTAGGAGGAAATATCAAGAGCTCAGTTTTTGAGAGATTGAGTTGTAAGAAATGTTGCGACATCCAGACTGGAATGTCAGTTAGTAGATTAGTGACACGAGAAGACACAGAGGGGGGGAGTTGTAGAGTGGAAAGATAGATTTGAGTGTCATCGGCATAGAGATGGTATTGGAAGCCATGTGAGGTTATTAGTTGACCAAGGGAGGAGGTGTAGATAGAGAAGGGGTCCAAGGACAGAGCCTTGGGGGACCCCTACAGAAAGAGGAAGAGGAGGAGTTAGAATTGTAGGTGACACTAAAGGAGCGCATAGATAAGTAGGAGGAGAACCACGAGAGAGCCGAGTCTTGTAGGCCAAGGGAGTGGAGTTTTTTGAGGAGTAGCGGGTGGTCAACAGTGTCAAAAGCAGCAGAGAGGTCTAATAGCAAGAGTAAGGAATAGTGGCCGTTGTTTTTTAGCGGTTATTAGGTCATTGGTGAGTTTTAGGAGTGCGGTTTCAGTGGAGTGTTTGGGGCGAAAGCCGGACTGAAAGGGGTCCAAAAGGTTGTTATTAGCGAGGTGGCAACTCAGGCGGTTGTAGATGAGGCGTTCTAGGAGTTTATAGGTGAATGAGAGTAAGGAGATAGGTCTGAAAT